CACCCCCACGGGGATCAAGAATTGCACACTTCCTGCTCTTCTGGACCAAGAGAACAGATGGACCGTTACGGGAGGAGAAACGGCGGCCCGGCCCTGCACAATGGAAGGGGTGAGAAAGAGACTCAAGACAGCCCCGCCTTGATTCTGTTTGGTATAAGTCGAAGTAGAGAGAAACTTTCTACTTTCTGTTATGATATCCTGCAACAGTAAAGGAGCGTTCCTAGAATCCTTGCAGCGTCTCTTCCCTGACCGGGCCTCCCTTGAAAGGCTAGCACCTTTGAGAAAACCTTGCCCTTTCTTTTTTCACTGCTAGTCCTCATGATTGCCGAGACTGATTGATTCACAGTGCAGCCGCATACGAGGGTGGAAACGAGCCTGGTTTTGCTGGGGTACCGGGCCCCGCATCAGCCCAGCTGTTGTTCTCAGGGGGCTTAAGTGAGGACAGGAAAGACGCCATCATTGCGAGGTTGTTCCAGCCATCTTCACGTTGCTCACCTTCCTCCTGCGCACAGCTCCCTTGGTACTGGGCACGGCTTCACACACCAGGCCGATAGCCTCCCTGCAGGAGAGGAGGAGGAGGAAAGAGGGCATTGGAGCATACGAGATGAGGGGAACAATCTTAAAAAGGCAGCGATTTCTTCCAACGGCCCCGAGAGAGCCAGACAGGGCAAGCCCTGCTTGCAACGGAGGTCAATCAGACACCTCGGGGGACACCTACAAGGAGGGCAGAAAAGGGCTTAGCTCTGCAAACTGGTTTTCAGAGCAATGGGATCTCAGCACACGTGAACACACGCAGACACAAACACACGTGCTCCTATTTGGCACCAATCAGAAGCTCAGCCCTTCCTCAGCTGCTTTTCCAAAACGAAAGCCGGCAGGGAGGATGTTAAGGATCAAAATTGCTCGTCCTTCAACATCCTACCCTGCTGGGCTTTCTCAGAAATCTCCAGGCAAGGCAGCCCTCCTGACTCGAAAGGAGTGAGGCTCAGAACAGTAACTCGGTCAGATACACAATGGGCAACCTCAGCATACTGTAGATGATTTCCTGAGGTCTAGAAACAAGTGGGCAGTCCGAGGAATTGTTGTTTATTTTATTTGCAACCTGGCTTTCTGCCCAGAGAGCAAAAGGAGCTGCCTCGGAGGGTTAACACGAACTCACGCAGAGATGCATCAAGCAACCTCCTCCACCGATACAAGCGCTGAAAACTCCCAATACAAGTACCGAAAATGATACAAGTGCTGCAAAAAAGAGGACAAGCCACCAGGGTCCCATTCAGATATCTTTAACTACCCCCTCATTGGTCTGGAACAGACTGGCCAATGGTCGGGGATGATGGGAACTGTCTAAAAACATCTGGAGTTGTTTTCTCCAAGGTGGCCCAGCCTTGTGGGAACCGGGTTCTTCCCTCGCAGCACGGATGGGGGGAACCGAGAAGAAGGGTAGAAGGATGGGACCAGCCCTTTTAAAAAAGAAGAAAGAAATTTGGGGAAAGAACGGCCATTCCTATTCATGCAGCCAGAGAGAGACTCACACGCCGCCCCTCCACAGAGCAGGGCGAGGAAGGGAGGAGAGAGAAATCGAGCGAGGCCCGTTAATATTTGATGATGCTGTATAAATGCTTCCTGTCTTTTGTGGATTAATTGGGGCCGGGGGGGAGGAGGAATGCCGTCGATGTGGACAGGAGGCTCATCGGAAGCTGCTTTGGCCCTCTCCAGTCACTTCTCTGCAGCCCCCGTGTCTGCCCATTAATGGACTGGATTGCAGGGGGGGAAACACACACACACACGGTCTTCCTCCCCCTTTAACTCTTTCCTGCGTTGTTCCTTCCCTGCCACGGACAGAGTCTAGAAAGGCCAGACTTTTAGGGTCTGCACAGAACAATGACCTAGTGGACGACCCTAAACACAAGACCCTTAACCGACGGGGGTCTGCACCCTAACCCTAACCCCCATCCTAATTGAGGCTAAAACTAACCCATCTTAACACGGGTATATCTGCGTGTGTGAGCTTCCGGATTAAGCCCATTGGGCAAA